AAAAAAAAAAATGTAAAAAGCTTTTAGAGATGAGGTTGCAAAAAGGTGGGCCCAGTGGTCAGATGTGGCACACAAATGTTTGCTCTACACATTGTTGAGCTGTTGGCCTTCACTGTTACAAGTAGTGGGAATCCCAATATATCAGGGGGTGCTATTCACACAGAATATAATGTGAATGGTGCCCTCTGGAGTTGGTATATCAGCCTTAGGAATGTTCTAATTGACAAACAAAATGCATTCTGAATGTCGCAGTTGTTTGGATCAAAGCAAAATTATCCTAATAGGAACAATATTATATATGATAACTGGGTCTCCAGGTCAACCCCCAGAAGTCTAATTAATCCACAGGCAAATGTAGTTCATCCTCCTTAGGATGGAGATATAATTTTCATTCATTCTCATTTACAGTTTCATAAGGAGAATTAATGACCAACTTTCTTGTCCAAACCCCACGGCTATGTATGATTAGGAGCTGTGAGTGAGAGAGAGAATGATATTTTGAGGCAGGAAAATGAAAATAATAAAAACCAAAAAAAAGACATGTTCCAGGCTCGGCGCCTGTAGATCAAGTGGCTAAGGCACTAGCCACGTACACCTGAGCTAGCAGGTTCGAACCCAGTCCAGGCCTGCCAAACAACAATGTCAACTACAACCAAAACAGCCGGGTGTCGTGGCAGGCGCCTGTAGTCCTAGCTACTTGGGAAGCTGAGGCAAGAGAATCACTTGGGCCCAGGAATTTGAGGTTGCTGTGAGCTGTGATGCCACAGCACTCTACCCAGGGCGACAGCTTAAGGCTCTGTCTCAAAACAAGAAAAAAAAGAAAAGAAAGAAAAAGAAAGACTATGTCTCAAAGAACAAAAAGAGATGTTCCATTATCTTTCTTTCCTTTCCCTCCCATTGCCACCTACAGCTGTAATAGGACAGTGTGGGGGAAGTAATAGGTACAACAGCTGTCAGCAAGACAGAAAGTGTAAAGAGGGAATGGGTACCTCCTGGTAGAGATGCTGAATGACAGAACAGGAGATATCAGACAGATGTTCTGGGCATATATAATTAGGTGTTAAGGAAACTATCTGCATCTTTACATGGTAATACTGCACAGAAATGGGCTGTTGTTGTTTATCAGGTGATATCACATTAGTACCGCTCTAGGTCTCTCATTTATCCTTCTATCAATATGAGACTATATATAATTTAACACAGTAATCCTGAATGAGTAACCCAAGAAATGTACCCATTTCTTCCTGGAGGCTCTTCTATAGCCAGAATCCTGAAACAGGGTAGAAACCTGACTATTCTTAATAACCTATCTGGGGAAATATGAATAAGCAAGGTATATATGAAAGGAAAGACAGGTATCACATAATTTGAGCTTGAATTCTAAGGCCATTTGAAGCAAGGCACAGTGGCTTACAAGACCAGCCTGAACAAAAGCAAGATCTTGTCTCTAAAAATAGCCAGGTGTTGTGGCGGGCACCTATAGTTTCAGCTACTTGGGAGGCTGAGGCAAGAGCTATGCCTGGCTGACAATACATTTTTAAAGATGTTCTATGATATAATGTACCAGGTTACTTGTGGCTAAAGGCTACAAATCTCATGCCCCTCCTCACCACTTGAAGAATGAGAAGAAACTGTCTTAGCACACTGCACGCTTCTAGTGGCACCTTTTGGTTTGGTGGATCTATTGCAGCCTTTTTGCAAAATTCTAAGACACGGAAACTTTATTAATAGAGTGTTACCTTGAGAGCACTAAGTTGCAACTGGACCTCAGCTGATTTTTTTCACCCAGAACCCTCTTAAATTTGATTCATTAGACTTTATATTCTGGGGTCATTCTTACCATCTGGAAATGCTAGAACAGGGTGAACACAAGAGTCCAACTGGGAGAGACGTTCCAACAGAGGGGCTTCATAGTGAATTTCAGGAGGCACAGTGTTAACACTGCCTGAACCACACAATGCGCAGGAGGGATTCACATCACACGCAGAGCGGATTGTGCTATTCCGATGAACCTGTGAAAAGCCAAACAAAACTCTTGACAATTCAGCATCTGACACAAAATCCTGCTCCCACTTGTTAGCCCAAAGACACAAAAAAACTTTTTAGATACTTGACTTTGCGAACAGAATGGGTGATCAGCTTGTTATAAGATCCCCATTTGTCTAGCATACTAACCTTCAAAGTAAGGAAGAAAACTTGCTTCTTTGTCAACAACGAAAACTAATTACTTGAAGCCCAAAGTGCTTACCTATATATCAAACTTTTGACAGTTTAAAGATATTATAACTCTGCTTTCAGGAATATGCTATCAGCTTGGGGCCTGTGGCTCAAGTGGCTAAGGCACCAACCACATACACCTAAGGTGGTGGGTTCGAATCCAGCATGGGCCCACCAAACAACAACAATGGTTGCAACCAAAAAATAGCTGGCTGTTGTGGCGGGCGCCTGTGGTCCCCGCCTCCTCCCAGGCTGGGGCAGGAGACTCGCTTGAGCCCAGGAGTTGGAGGTTGCTGTGAGCTGTGATGCCATGGCACTCTACCCAGGGGAACAGCTTGAGGCTCTGTCTCAAAAAAAAAAAAAAAAAGAATATGCTACAAAACCTGCATGCTTTTACCATCTTCGCGACTTTAGGTAGTCTCAAACAAGGTAGCAAGCTTCCCTGGATTGCAATTCATTAACCAATCTTAAACCCAGTCTAAAATCCACTGTTACAAAGCTCACACCTAACTAATAAAAATACATTTTGTATCGTGTTTACTTTCATAGTCTCTGTTAAATTAACTACAAGAGGATTGAAATTATTTCTATTAAACTTTCTAAAACCTGGGCAGAATACATCAGTAACCTCCCCCAGCTAAGTCCAGAGTGAAATATGAACAAATTTAAATCTTCAAAAGATTTAATCCTATAAAAAAATGGGAATTTTATGCTTTGAGAGGAAAACTTCAGGTCATGCTGAATGCAGATCCCTAATATCCACTTGAGTGTTAGAATAAAGAAGTTTGAGATTTGCCAAAGCATAGGTCATAAAATCCCTTGGGCAGCAGAGTCTTAGGAGCAATGAACTTGCCTATGAAATGGCATTGTAAGGAGGAATCCTATAAGTGCAGTATCAGAAGACAAAAAGATAACATTCAAAACTCTGCTAGAACAATGTAGTCTTCATCAACACTTCCCACCTGCCCCCTTCTTAGCAATCACATAGATGGATCTCATCTATGCAAAGAGGGTCCCTCTGAAGGTTAGACTGGGCAAACTGCACCGAAGTAGATGCCATTGAAAAGGAATAATACCAACATGACATTTCTGTGTAGACAACATGAACTGGTATTGTTTTCGAAAAAATATCACTTGCAGCCTATTTAACTGGGGCTGGTTTTCTGGAGGAGATGACATTTTAAAGTAAAGAGAGGGAAATAAATTTGGCAGGGATGAAAACCAGACCACACAGTAGATGGGAAAATTCAAGAAAATTGATTAGGATCTAAAAATTGCACCCAAAGCACCAATATTAAAAAGAGATTACAAAAAGATATCAAAAATAAAAATAAGACTTAAAAGGGAGATATGTTTCCTCATAAACTGACTCATGGGATCACCTAGCTCTTCTCTGTATGGGACATTGACAACATTTCACTTTATGGCTACAGCACATCGAGTACAAAGAATATGTCAAGAATAACAAAATAAAAATAAAGGACGAGATTAAGATGATTAAAAAAAGAGAGATTAAGATGATAGCAGAAATTACTAAAAGAGGAAGTACATGCTAGAAATGATAAATTTATCATTTTAAAATGGGAGCTTTTCTTCGTTTCCATACCCAACCCTAAAAGCAGATAGATAATAATAGACCAATTAACAAGACAAGCTGTTAAGACAGACCTACTGAAAAGGTTAAAAGTGCAAATATATAAGAACTCCTTAAAAAAAAAGTGTTAAGTGGTAGCTTGGCGCCTGTAGCTCAGCAGCTAGGGCGCTGGCCACATATACTGGAGCTGGCAGGTCTGAATCCAGCCTTGGCCTGTCAAACAACGACAACAACAACAACAAAAATCAGCCAGGCATGTGGCTAGTGCCTGTAGTCCCAGCTACTTGGGAGGCTGAGGGAAGAAAATTGTGTGAACCTAAGAGTTTGAGGTTGCTATGCCACAGAACTCTACCAAGGGTGACCAAGTGAGACTCTGCCTCAAAAAACAAACAAACAAAAAAAAAAAAACCCCAAAACAAACAAACAAAAACCCCCAAAACTGTTAAGAGGAAAAGTCAGTTACCTATAGCTATTTATAAATGGAATATAACATTTTAGCCGTTTCTTTTCTTTTTTTTTTTTTTTTTGAGACAGAGCCTCTAGCTGTCACTCTGGGTAGAGGGCCGTGGTATCACAGCTCACAGCAACCTCTAACACCTGGACTTAGGCGATTCTCTTGCCTCAGCCTCCTGAGTAGCTGGGACTATAGGCGCCTGCCACAATGCCTGGATATTTTTTTGTTGCAATTTGGCCGGGTCTGGGTTTGAACCTACTATAAACTACACATGTAAGGGATCTAAGCTTTGCACTCTTTATCAGAATCTAATGCTTTATGATCTGAAGTTGAACTAAAGTGGTGATGCCAGTGCTGGAAAACAAGCTCAGGGCTCCAATTGATTTTGCATTATGGTGAGTTGTATCATTATTTCATTATGTATTACAATGTAATAATAATAGAAATAAAGTGTACAATAAATGTAATAAGCTTGAAATCATCCTGAAACCATGCCTCCCACCATGGTCCATGGAAAAATGATCTTCCATGAACCAGTCCCTGGTGCTAAAAAGACTGAGGACCACTGGCTTAAGGGTATGTTGTAGTGATTTTCTGTCCAGACCACTAAAACTTTCTCTGTATCAGCACTAAGGCTGTTTCTTTTTCTTATCATTCATGTGTTTGCTGCAGTAACACTTTCAATTTCCTTCAAGAAATCCTCCTCTGCATTAACTTGGTTAGCTAACTGGCACAAAAAGCCTAGCCTTTAGCTTTTTTACATGTCTTCCTCAGTAAACTTAACCGTTTCTAGCTTTTGCTTTAAGTGAGAGACACAGGGTCTTCTTTTACTCTAACAGAGGTGATGATAGGGTTATTAACTGGCCTAATTTCAATACTATTGAAATAGTATTGAATAGGGAAGGGAATAGGGAAGCCTGGAGAGAAGGAGAGACACTAAGCAACAGCCAACTGGTGGAACAGTCAGAAGACATACAACATTATCAATTAAAAGTTCGCTGTTTTTACACAGGTGTGGTTTATGGCATCCAAAACAATTATAATAGTTACAATAGTAACAAAGATCACTGATCACAATAGATATAATAAAAAACATATTAAATACTGTGAAAATTACCAAAATGTGAAACAGACATGAAGTGAGCTCATGTTGTTGAGAAAATGGCTTCCTTGCTACAGGACTGCCATAAACCCTCAACTTGTTAGAAAAAAAAAAAAAAAAAAAAAAGAATTAAAAATAATAAATAAATGTTTTAATTTTTTCCCTTAGAAAATATACTAAGTATAGTACAGAAAATACTTCATGACATTTTCATATAAAGTTATATTACTTTCTATAAATAAACATGAATTTTTTGTGGTAATTCTGTAAACCAGACTTTTTTTTTTTTTTTTTGAGATAAGAGCCTCAAGCTGTTCCCCTGGGTAGAGTGCCCAGTTCACAGCAACCTCCAACTCCGGGCTCAAGCGAGTCTCCTGCCTCCGCCTCCCAAGTAGCTGGGACCAGAGGCACCCGGCACAACACCTGGCTATTTTTTGGTTGCAGCCATCGTTGTTGTTTGGCAGGCCTGGACTGGATTCGAACCCACCACCTTAGGTGTATGTGGCTGGTGCCTTAGCTGCTAGAGCCACAGGCTCCGAGTTGTAAACCAAACATTTTAACCTATGACTTCAACTTCATCTGTTCCTTGCATCTATTTTTATGTGGTTCTTAAAAACATATCTAAAAACTCCACCATTAGTATGGCAACAAAAATACTATGAATATGGGTACTCTCCTGGAGTGTATTTATTACAAACTTGTACTTATAGTCTTCTTTGTGAATGCGTTATACTAAAATCTAAAGTTGCTTTTATCCTATTTTTAGATCTTTTTTTTCTTTTGATGTTGATACAAGAGTTGCTATAAATAACTTAAAAATTTTTTTGTTTCGCAGTTTTGTTTTGTTTTTTGGCCAGGGCTGGGTTTGAACCCGCCACCTCTGGCATATGGGGCTGGGGCCCTACTCCTTTGAGCCATAGGTGCCGCCCGTATATAACTTAAAAATTTTTTTAGTGAAAATATAAAACATGGCTCGGCGCCTATAGCTCAACTGGCTAAGGCGCC